TTTAAAAGAACAAATGAATGTTATTTATATTGTTTATGTTAAACAAATTAATTGCCATAAAGGCCTTTTCATGTTCATGTAAAACGCTAATTTTATTATCAAAGTAAATCATGTGATTATAGATGCTGGATTCTGATAAATATACATGAAAATAATTTAACATTAAATATAGCAATAATATTGTATCGTATCTAAAATGTCATTTGGAAAAAAAATATTATATATGATTAAGCAAGTCCGAGAAAAAATAATTCATATATAATTATATATAAGGCAGTATATATGTTTATATATAAAATATGACCACATATAATTACATATAATTATATCTAATTTTCAGGATAGCATTTTTAGATAAAACGTTTATATGTACAACTATCCATCGTTTAGCCAAAATTCGTAGTAAACATAATGTACGATGGCTTTTACAGATATTGCAGCGACGTTATTATCAACAGGAAAAATAATTCATACAACATTTAGATTGCCGGTTTTATTATTTGCTGATTTATCATCTAATATTAAAATCCAATCCAAGAGGAAGCTCAATATTTGAAAGAAATAGATATTTTTATTTGGGACGAAGCGCCAATGACACCGCGATATGTTCTAGAAATTGTAGATCGAACATTGCGTGACATCATGAATAATGATTTACCTTTTGGTGGAAAAATTATTGTGTTAGGTGGTGATTTTAGACAACTTCTTCCTATTAAAGTACATAGTACTCGAAGTTAAATCATAAATCTTTCGATTAAGTTTAGTTCTATTTGGAAACATTTTTTAAGTTTCTCTTTAACGGAAAATATGCGAGTTCTTCCAGAAGAAACTAATTTTACAAAATTTCTATTGGATAGGGGATTGGGAGATGGCATATTAAATGATTCTAATAATAATATACAACTTCCGGATTGTTGTGTTGCGTCTATTAATGCTGATATTGTAGAAGATATATACGGTGATCTAATACGAAGAAAAGAATTTGATAAATTGACTAAGTGTGCAATACTTTTTGCAAGAAATACTGATGTAGATGAAATTAATAAACGAGTTGTTGAATTATTAGACGTTTGAAAAAAAATTTATACAAGTACAGATAATACTGAAAACTGCGGCGATAATGGTAATTTTGGTGAAGTTTTACTGCCAGAATATTTAAATACTTTGTCATCTCATCTATCTTATGAATTAAGTTTAAAACGAATTGTATCATTATGTTGATTAGAAACCTCAGTGATCAATGAAAGAATCTTTGCAACGGTAACTAGATTAATGATCATAGAACTGCTAATCATTTATTAAAATGTAAAATTTTAACAGGTAATAAAATAGGAGACATTGTTTTCTTGAATCGTATAACACTGTATTGCGAAAATGTATATCCTTTTGTATATCCACTGTATATCCTTTTACTTTTAAAAGAAGACAATTTCCGATAAGATTAGCGTTGCTGTGACAATTAACAAATCACAGGGACAGACATTTAACAGAATAGGAATAGATCTTTGTAAAGATGTTTTCAATCATGGACAACTTTATGTTGCTTTTTTCACGCGTCCAAACTTGGCAAGCATTAAAAGTTTATCTTAGTAGCTAGTGCGATAATAAACAAGTTAAAAACTACGTATATAAAGAAATATATATATATATATAAAAACTTGCATTTTTTAAATATTTAATTTATAAAAACTTAATATTTAATAAATATTATTTAAAACATAAAGTATTGATAATCATGTTAACAATATAAAATTTAATATAAAATTTTAATATAAAATTTTATTAACATTTAAGGATAATAATTTCTTTTAGAAATTGAAACCAAAAACTGTCCAAACCAAAAATAACATATAAGAAAAATTGCAACATTAAAATAAAGTTAATAAAATTTTTAGATTTTAACTTTAAATTAATTTTTAAACTGTTGATACGTTGATTGATTAATTAATTATAATTTCAAAATAATGAAAATTATAATCAATAGTTTAAAATTAATTAAAGATATAATGATACATCCGAATCACTCCCCTTTCCGTAAATGAAATTGTTAAACGGCGTGAATTATATTTGTATATTCACTCCCCGACCGACCATCCGTCGAGGTGTCGACACGGTGATCCTCCGCGATCCCATCGTCGGATAATTCGCGTCGACCATCAGACGCAACAAACGAAATTTAAAGGAAGCGAATTCACGTGAACAACGCGTGAATTATAATAGATCGCGCGTTATAATAGGCTACCACTGATGGCCCCGCTACCGACCGCACCACCGAACGTATCCGCGGAATTCGCCGAACCCGTTCGGCGAATTTCGCGAATCTTCCGACGAGATCATCCCCAGAGTCGATCCCAGAATCCGAGCTCCGCCGACCTGTACCCGATTATTCCCGATCTACGGCCGACTCGGGTATATTAACCGAGTCCGGCGGATGATTTTGGCCTATTACCGGCGAGACAGTAGACATATCCAGTACTGATTTCGATATACCCGTTCCAATCCAGATAAGCGATTTAGGGCACTTCCTAACGAGCCAGGAGCTTCTGGCCGATCGCTCCTATCTCCGAAGCACGCAAGCTTTCTCTCAGGCTAAAGCGCTTCTTAGCTTGGATCTCAAAGCAGGCGTGCAAATTTCCGTCGTTGGCGGTAACAGAGCAGGGAGCTTCCTGACTCTAAACCACAGCAAGTGCAACATCCTGACACTAGCCCGAGAAATCCATCCGAAATGACTGTGACAAGACGAAACGCCCGACGAATAATCAGCTGATCGGCCACGCGACTAACACCGCGCATACCAAAGACCCCGCACACCGTCGTGCACCGCGCGTCTACTATCGCGGCACGTCAAATTCACGGGAAAGCAGCGAGCCGAATTCGTGGAAAAACAGCAAGCCAAAACTATTGTAAGGATTCTCGGAATCCGCGAAATTCTTCGTAGAACCGCGATTGTAATTCTCTGTAAAAACTGAATTCCGAAAAGCCATCTGTAAATATTGTAAATAGCAAAACAGAGTTTGTAACCTAACCAGTCGGTAAGTTGTAAATAAGTTTCAAGTCTTTTAAAATATCATAACAAACTTACTTTTTGTAAAAAAGTAAAAAAGTCATCAAATGTACGTGCAGTTTGTATGTGAAAGGTTATTATATAAAAATATTATTGTTTAGTGGAAAAAAAGTTTTCAATTATTGACGCAAATTATATTTATTTAAAAAAATTAAAATAAAACTCAAGATTCATATCTTTGCATCCAAGAACTTTTTATTTTATTCAAGTTTATATTTACAAAATTACGCAGTCTTATGTCTAATGTCGAATAGTATATAATATTTAATTCTAATATTTGTATAAAAGATTTTATTTTAAAAAAGTGGCACCAAGTTATAGTTACATTATCTTATTCAATATACAATTGCTTTTATTATATAAAACCCGTGATAAGTATCAATTAAAAGCTTTTCCTTTCAACCCAAGTAATAACAACTATTTTATTTTATTCTCTTTAAAAGTTATCAAATACTGCCAGTTATATCTTCCTAAAAAAATAAAACTTAATAAAAATAAAACTCAAGTATATATATCTTTATATTTAAAAATATTTCTATTTCAATTCTGATATTACAAAATTACGTCTTCTTATGTTTGATGTTTAATGATAATATTCTTTACACCCAAGAGTTTTTCTATTTTAATTCAAATATTACAAAATTGCGTCATTTTAGTGATGTTCAAATAATATATAATATATACTCACCTCTAATAATATGTATCATTTGTATAAAATTTGATATGAAAAAGTGGCGCCAAGTTAAGAGATAATTACATTATCT